TGGTGGCCTGCTCCGGGGAAAAGCTGTGTCAGCGCTTCCACAGCGGCTCGTTAGGGCTGTTTAAGGGATAGACGTTCACCTCTGGCCTGGAAAGGATCTACACTACTGCGTTTCTGCTAAGGCCAGAGGTTCCCGAAACACTGAGGCTACGCATCGGGCCCGTTACAGTGGCGAAACAGCCAGAGCGTTATGCTTTTGTTTGCCCCAGCGTTGAGGCTTATCTGTACAAAGGCAGGCTGCATCGCTGCTGATGGTCATCTGAATAAAACTGGTAGGCCGTTTTCATTTGGGTAGCCAGAATGCTACAAGCAAACGCGCTTTCTGATTGCCAAGGTGAGTTCGTAACACACGGTGGAGGGCTGTTGAATCGATGACTGTGTAAATCCACTTGGACTTCCCGGTTGCGGGGCGTGCGGTCTGTGGCAGGGAATCAGAAAGTGAAACTCGCTGATCGGTCCTTACTCTGCGCTTTGATTGCACGGACGCGAGGCAAGTGAGCTTGTGCCGTGTGCGTGGAGGGCCGCGATCAAGTAAGGTAGCGTTTAGACCATGTTTGTCCGTAGATGAAAATTAACTTTTAAACATGCGTTCTTGTAGCAGCCTGCTCAAAAACCAGTTTTCCTGTGGAGTTGTTCAGTTTTGCTTTATTCTGCAGGCAGAGTTCGTTTCTGAGCATTGCTTGAATGTACACGTTGAGCTACCTTCAGTGGGTTGTGCCCCGTCCAAGCCTGTGCTCCTCTGAACCCAAAAGGATGGACCTGGAAATTACTGATATTATTTTTGGCTTTCCTAGATGATCTCCAGGGAGGAAAGCAGGTCCTTTCTTGTAGGCTGCACTGTTACCGTAGCAGCTTGACAGTCCGGGCAAAAAGAGGGTTTAGTCCAATTTCAGATGGTATTGAACAAAAAGGGCTAAAAGAGCGCTTAGGCCAATTTCAGGTGATGTTCACAAAAAGGACTTTGCTGCTGTGTAAGAACACAGGATGTTTGTGAAAACATTAAGAAAATTAATTTAAATATGCATGTATTTGCAGTTATTGCTTGAGCTGTTAAAGGAGGAAAGCTTTTTCTACAGTTCAGAAAACCTTTTTTCTCTCTTTTTTTTTTTTTCCGGATAGATTATTTTGGAGAACCTCTGTCCCTGTTACGATTGTTTAACATATCTGTGATGTACACTGCACTGATGACATTGTTGACACTTGGTACTGGTGACAAGTGACATCAAGGAAATATTTTACATATTAAGCTGTCTTTAGTGCAGTTAGGCAGCTGGAAGGACAAACCAGCATTTTGTGCTGAATTTGCCATCTGTGCGTCATAGCTTGGTTCTCTATTTTGGATACAAGTATGTGGGTAACATGCTGTAGGTGATTTGGCAGGAAGTATCGGTTCAGGTCATCTGTTCAGTATTCACAGATGCCACATACATGTTCTTAGATGGCTAACTTTCAGCTCTAGCTATTGCCTGTGCTTTACAGCTCATAGCTCTCAACGTTATCCCTTTGATCTTTTGGGATTACTTGTTTTGCATGGAACTATGTATTTGGACCCAAAACTTGCTCTTTTGTCCGCAGTTTCTTCTCAGTGTGGTCGTGATGGGGTGCCACTGCTTTTTAGTATGTAGCTCAGAAACATCTCCCTCTTCTTCATTCATAATGAAGCAGAAAACTGAGATGTCTTCTTCCTTGTGGAAACTGATTTGTTCTTCTTCTACCGATGTTGACCCAATTCATTCAGTTTTCCAGATGCATAACGGTGATGTACTTTAAAGCACCTTGTTTACCAAAG